ACTATTATACTAATGCTGCCTAAATCCTCAGGTGATTGAGTCATGCAGTATAATGGAAATGAGTGCTTCTGCAAATTCTGCAAGAAACAGAGCACCATAAAAGCTCAAAGGCCATGAAGGTGGTGCCCAGAGGAGCAGAAGAACATGCTTGGGTAGACTTGTCTGTGTGATGACACCAAGAGGAGTCAACTGGAGTAGTAGCGGTGACAGTGGAAGGGGACTCATTTATGAAATCAGATGAGAGATTTAATGACTCTCAGAAACACTTATGGGAGATATTTTGCTCTGTCACCAAGATGGGAGCAATAATCCTTCAAAATCGGGGCACCAATTTTATTGTAACCTAATTGGTACCCACAGACTGGTGAGACCTGAGCCAAATTCCAGTTATAGGAGTTATTTATGGGTTAATTTCAGGATAGCTTTGTATCTCTTTCTTCCTTTTACAGCTATTAATACATTTACGTAATAATTTTTCTTTGAACTAAAATCTACTCTATGTACCTCTAGGTTTAAATAGAGTAAGTTTTGGCGTACATATCAACATTGAAATCTTAAATTTAGAGAGCATCCTTTTCTGCCACCCAGGATCCGCTCAAAGAAGTAAGGAAAAGTTAGAGGTAGAAATAACAGCAGCTGATTTACACCAGTGTGTAGTCATTGGAGACATACCAGTTTTTGGTGGAAAGCACATGAACTTTGAAATCAGACAGACTTGAATTCAAACCATGTCTTCATCTCTTATTAGTTGTGTGGTTTTAGCCAAATTTTGTAACCTTTCTGAGTATCTGTTTTCTCAATATATAATAAGGTTAATCATCCTGCTGTTTTGTTTGAGGAGTACTTGGCAACAGTTTTTGCATATCTTATAAGCTCTTGATAAATGACAATTACTAATTATACAATTCTAGTATGACTTTTGAGTCTGAAATGTATGGAGATCAGAAATGTATAAAGATCAGAAAACTAGTGAAGCCTTAGAAAGACACAACCACCTGAGAACTTTCCAATTATTAAGCATAAATTTCTCAGTCATATCAATTTTTTAAGAATTTATGTTCTTATAATTTAAAATTTCTGAAATGGAGGGAGAATGATTCATTTTGATTTTCCAGATGAATTGACTTTTTTCGACTTTCCTGAGGTATAATTGAAAAATAAAAAGCTGTACTTATTTAAGGTATACAAGATGTTTTGAAATACATTTACACTGTGAAATGATTATCACAATCAAGCTAATTAGCACATCAATTGCCTCACATAGTTGCCTTTTTTTCTGACATAAGAACACTTAAGATCTACTCTGTTAGCCAATTTCAAGTATACAATGCATTATTATTAACTATAGTCACCATGCTGTACTTTAGGTCTCTAGAACTCATTCATTTTATAACTGCCAATGTGCACCCTTTGACCAGCTTAATGTATCTTTTTTTATTTTAAGATCCAGGTGTGGCCATTTTGCATTTCCATAGGCACTTGATTGACATAAAAAAGTTAGTGTTGTTGCACATGAAAAATTTAAACTCTAGAGGACATTTGTGGTCCCAGAGGGCTAGTGTACAAGAGTCAGAAGACCCAGAGAGGGAAGTGCCAGCGACTCACCCACACTGTTCATACTTTGACTTTTCCAACGGGATGCTGACACTGTGTGTCTTAGACCATTTTCTGCTACTATAGCACAATACTATGGAGTGGGTAATTTATAAACAAGAGAAGTTTATTTGTTCATGATTCTGGAGGCTCAGAAGTTCAAGTTCAAGTGGTTGCGTCTGGTAAGGGCCTTCATGCCATGATGGAACATGAAAGGGCATGAAAGACACAGGACAAGGAGAAAATGGGGCCAAACTCGTCTTTCTGCCAGGAGCCCACTCCCATGATAACTAACCCACTCTCATGATAACCAACTCAGCCCCACGATAATGGCATTCAGAGGGCAGTGCCTTCATGACTTAATTACTTCTTAAAGGTCCCACTTTTTAATACTGTCACAATGGCAATTAAATTTCAACATGAGTTTCGGAGGGGACATTCAAACCACAGCACAGGGCTTTCCTCCCCGGGGTTTCCACGCACAGCATATACAGTAAATTATATTAGTCTTCTGGAGAGGCAACATGGCTCTACAGCCAGACAGCTCTAAGTTTGAACCTCAACTCCCTTACCTGCTAGTACTAACTGAGAGACTGTGGTCAAGTCACTTCACCTCTATGAACCTCACTTTCCTCCTTATACAATTTAATAACAGTAATATTCACCTCTAAGTTGGTCCAGAAACAAGATAACATATGTATACCTAACATGTGCACCCTAGATATTAATTTCTTTCCCCTCCCAGTAATACCGATGATGAGGCTGAAGTGCCAAGGGCTTTTCCTAGCATAATGGTGGTGAGCAAGATGCAATGGACCAACTAGATTCCAGATGAATAAAAATGAGATTTTAAGTAGACGCAGATGAGCGTGAAAGCCAAAGAGTCACTATGAAAGGCCAAGCCCCACCTTGGCCATCATAGGACTCAACAGAGAACCAGGACCAGGACCACTAAATCCTTACTTCGCTTATCTATGTTATTTGTGCCCAGTCCAAGGCCTAGAAGCCCACTGGAATGCTTCCCATAGGGGGTGCTGGATCACCTGTAAGATGGATAGATACTTGGATTTTGTTGCTACTTCCATGTACAAAGACTCAGAAGTGGTCACTAAGGAAACCAGCCTCAGAATGAATTCCACTTGGAGTTAACTGACTAGTGTTTTCCAAATTTCACTTCTACCTGGAACCTTGGAATGAGCCCTTATTTGGAAATAGGGTCTTTGCAGATGCAATTAGTTAAGATGAGATCATATTGGATCAGGGTGGGTCCCGGATCCAGTGACTGGTGTCCTTGTAAGGAGAGGAGAAGACACACAAGAAGAGGCCATGTAGAGACAGGGCCACAGAATGAGTGCTGCAGCTGCAAGCCAAGAACACAGAGGATTGCCGGGAGCCACCGGAAGCTAGGAAGAGAAGAGGAAGGATTTTTCCCCAGGACCTTCACCGGGAGCTCAGCCTTGCTGACTCCTTGATTCTGGGCTTCCAGACTCCGTAACTGCGAGACAGTAAGTTTCTTTTGTTGTAAAATGCCATGTTTGTGGTAATCTGTTACAGCCGCCCCAGGGAACTAATGCACCACTCTACATTCTTGCAGGATTTTGAGTTTTGACAGGGTTTTCTCTCCAGTAGTAAGTACTTTTCTTCCTCCTCTTCAGTCCCTTTTCACTTCCTCGCAGTTTTTCTCCCTGCCACCCTTGCCAAGACCTTCAGGTCACTAGTTTCCAGCACTGTTCTGGCGCCCACCCTTCCCAGCGGCTCTTGGCTTCCCCACGCTCGGGGTGCGTCTCTCTCATCATGGCTGAGGCTGGCTCACAGAGGGGGGGCCCCAGAAGGCTGGGCCTCCAGGTCCTCCACCTGCCTCTAACCAGCCGTGACCAAAAATCACAGCACTTGACCCCCGCCGCCCCAGACTCTTCACCTGCAAAAGAAAAATGCGAAGCAACCATGCTACCACACAGGGTACAGGGTTTAAAATATGATCGATGAGAAAGCGCCTTGGAAAAGTGAAGGCTCAATTAAACTTGCGAGAAGCTATTCCATTATTATTAGGAAGCCTGCCGAAGATAAAGGACCTGGCAAGTCGAAACCTCACGTTTCTGATCTCAGAGCCACGGTGCTGGCCCTTTCTCCATCTGGGTCTTTACCTCATGTCCGTGCCTTTGCAGTTCATCGACTTGGTTCAGAGAAGGAAGGGCCATGGTTTGTCTTTAATTTCTGGGAAGTGAAGCTTTTAATACAGTTACTTACCTCCCCAGAACCGGTGCCAGGCTCCGGCCACGACAGGGCAAGAGGACACATCAGGGGGGTAGAAAATGCTGGCTATGTTTCTTAAATTCTTGCTTTATTTTATTTTATTTATTTATTTATTTTGAGTCTGAACTATTAAGAACAGAGAGATACTTAAATTTGATTTATTGGCAAAAGTCTTTAGAGATTTTGACATGGTGGAAATTTATAAATAGTAAAGAAGTTTGGTGAAGAAGGAAGTTTCAATGCTACACCTAGGTTTTTTTAAAAAAGGGAAAAAAATGCCAATTTAAACTTGTTTGTAGCCAGTGGTCAATCTTGATTTAAGATGGCAGTGAAGAAAGTGAAGTAATTAATATCAGCCAAGTGACTACTGCACTAATAATTTTCCCTCTAATCATTAAACTCCTAACTTATGTCAATTTTAAAGACACATATGGCATTTCATCAATTTTAAAACATGCTTTTTTCACATCTTAACATTTATGAAATAAGAATGTGTCTTGCAGTCAATATTGCTTTTTATTTATAATTGCCAGGTTTGGTTTAGTTTTTTCTATCTGTGCGGTACTTAAAATATGAGTGCAATTTATAACTGAGGAGTCTTAGATTCTATAAAATAGGAAATTTTGTTTAATGAAGATTGGAACTGTGAGACTTATAATTAAATTTCTTTTTCTTTTTATAATGCTCTTATCAAATCTCAGTAAAACAAGTGCGACACATTTTCTGCCTCAGAAATACTTGTGTTGTTTGCTTTAGAAGTCAGGCATTTGTTCTTTTTGAAAGGGAAGATATGAGTGTAATTTTGAGGTTAAAGAATAGAAAGAAACTAGATTTAGAAACACAAGTACCAGAAAGTATGAGGAAAAATTAAACAATTTCATTGCCATAATTACATCCTTGCAAATGTCTTCATAGAGCCCAGCGAGTTTTTTCTACTGTCTGAGCTGTCCGGTGATATAGCAAACACCTATCATTTCTGAGTCTCAGTCTTATACATCAAACAAAGGGATTAACATGCATGGTTTTTGAGGTCTGTACATTTCTAAGAGCCTCTGATAATTCTCGTTTTAAGAAGATTTATTCACATAGACAATTCAATATATCTCCTACACAGCACCACAAAGCATAACTGCTTCTGGGTTCTCTTGTCTTACCAGAGTGGTCAATGCCTTGCTGAAAGTTTTCATTTACAGAGACACTGTAAAGAAACAAAAGTGTTGTGAGTCAAACAATCTGCATAAATAGATTCTACTAAATTGCTTTTTAATTAAACCAATGAGAGCAAATGCAGAGTTAAGTTTTATTAAGAAGAGATTTTTGGAAGCCAGTGAACAGTCAGGGACTAAAGCAGTATTCTATTTTGTCCTTTTAAACTGATACTTAGCTTTTGCAATAATAGGATAATTCTTCAAGTGACTAGTTAAAATGAAAATCCCTGCACCTCCCACCTCGTCCAGGCAAGGTTACCCACGTTGTTTTTATGGATCTTTGAAAGAGAATGTACAAGGCACAAAGAAACACTTACAAGAATCCAGAGTCCAGCCACTGCTGAATACTTTCTTGTTTGGAATCTTCTACAAATAAGAAAGAAACAGATCAGTAAGTCAAAGCACAACCAGAGAAAATGACTCTTACCCTATTATTCAACCACCACTCAATAGCTCCATTTCCTACATATTTAGTCACATGTTCCCATAAACATATTCATTTTTTTTCCTGAAGGCAAAACCTCCTGTTTTCCATGATCAGCCTTTCCTGAGAATGAAGTGTAAACTTGCAAAAGGACTGTAACTTTTTTTAAAAAGAGAAAGAAATGTGAAAGAGAGGAAAAATAAAACACCGAAGAGCAAGAGATATTAGAATAATTTTTAGATTACCTGGTGTGAATACAAAGGGTGAAATAGCATATGAAACTTTTGTATTTCTCTTGTTGGATATAAATCACCACAGAGCCTCTCCTTATTGAATCACGACATTTACCTAAGGCAGCCAGCCAGTGATGTTTATTTGCAAGGAGTTCTCTGCCAGGTTAGAAACCAAATTTGCATTCATTCCAGGGACAAATTGCACTAGAGTCCCAGATTGCCAAAGGCACCCTCTGTTAAAAAGGCACCAGTCTTTTAAGGTGGATCTTTGTCTCTGGCTCAGCAAATAGGCAACAGGCAAAAAGGAGAGGACATAAAGGCAGCATTTCCTGTTAAATATTTGTTTCCATTCTGATTGGCTACCATGTGCTCTGCACTGATTTTCTTTGACTTTATCCTACCAAACAGCAAAGTACCTGAATTATCGCCCTCACAAGGTGTCAGGAGAACCAAAAAAAAAAAAAAGCCAGATGCATGTGGGAGGTGCTTATTGTTCAGTGGAGCTGCCCTGAAGAGATGGAATGAACTGGGTGATGGACAAAGAAGAAAAACCATCCAAGAGTTACATCATGGGGTGGGGGAAAGGATTTTCTTACTTATTACTCTTTAAATGGTTAAAATGATTATCAGTGCCTCGAACAAGACCCAACAAATAAGAGGACATTTTAACAAAATGTCCTGAAAAGCCTCATGCCTCCAGCATGGACCCCACACAGCTTCTAAGTCCTGTGGACGTAAGAGGAGGGGACCTTGTGGTGGAAAGGAAGCAGAGTTCATTCTTTGGTTGGTCTACTTCTGTCGAGAAGGTCTGTGTTCTGAGTGTCTGCAGGGGAAGTAGAAGTGCCCATTTCACAGATGCTTCCAGCATCATGCAAGGAGCGCTGGTATATTCATAGCTAAGTCCTTGTTCCAAAATCATCTTCCTCCAGCCAAATGCCCCTGCATCCCTCACCACCCACCGTGGGACATTTTCAGATAGCCCTGAGGGCCCTTCTCACCCAGCGTGGGGATGGGCAGACCCTGGCTTTCCTGGGAGCCAGGGGGCAGCTGCTCATCCAGAGGAGCCCACGCCCTCTTGGTGCACCTCAGGGTCTTCCTCTTGCTCTTTTCCTGGCCTTCTGGAGGGTTATCAGATCCTTGTGACTTCTCTGCCATCATAAGAGAGTAATTCTGCAAACTGACTTAAACACACAAACGAATGAGAAACAATGAGCTCAGCTTTGGGGCTTGGCTCAGTAAGCCGGAGAAGGCCAGAATGCTCGCAGGCCAGTGAATGATCCAGCTTCACAGTCTTACGTGAGCCTGGCTCACCCACCTGAGCCAAGCTCCCTGTCTCAGTTAGGGGAAATGGTTCCCTCCCCACGGCAGGGCAGCTGGAGACCAGGGACTAATTTGGCCTTACCAGTCACCAGGCCACGTCCATACTCTGGGGCATTCACTTTGGTGGTCTGGGATGTGGATGGACAGCAAAGAAATTGGACTTGAGGACACACCCAATAAATACCCTCAAATGTATCCAACAGTTTTTTTTTTTTGTTTTTTTTTGAGACAAAGTCTTGCTCTGTCACCTGTGCTAGAGTGTCCTGGCATCAGCCTAGCCCACAGCAACCTCAAACTCCTGGATTCAAGCAATCTTCCTGCCTCAGCCTCCCGAATAGCTGGGATTATAGGCATGTACCACCATGCCTGGCTAATTTTTCTATTTTTAGTAGAGACAGGGTCTTGCTCTTGCTCAGGCTGGTCTCCCTCCCAGAGTGCTAGGATTGCCTGCGTGAGCCACTGTGCCGAGCCTGTTCAACCGTTTTTATCTATAAAATTATTTTCAGAGACCCAAAATGTTGGGGGAAAATAAAGGCTTTAGCAACAGATCAACCTGGCTCAGTCCCATCTCGGCAACTTATTGTGTGGCCTTGAGTCAATTATGGAACCTCTGTGTATTCCCTTATTTTTAAATTGGGGATACACTGCATTGAATTTTAATAACTGTTAACCCAGTGGAGTAATTATTATGTACTAGCTTCTACACTGAATTCTATACATCTATTATTTAATTGTCAATGAAGGAAGTAATATAATTATTACAATTTTACAATGAATCGAACAGCAGAAGGATTAAGTTGCATGCCCAAAGCCATACACCTATCCAGGATTCAAACTTAGGCACTGGACTCCAAACATGTTCCCATGAATGTATTATACTATCTACCCTATGGAGTGTCTGGGACAATTAGAATATAAATGAATATATTGTGCATCTGGCACAAGAAGTATTGGTTGCACCCATTATCTCATTTGACCTTTATTAACATCCTATGAAACTTGCAGAGTAAGATCAGGACACAGAATTTTAGAGCAGTTGTGGAAATTGTTCAATCTCCCCAGACTATGAGCAACTGGAGAACAAGACCCATCCTCTTACTCATTTCTGTGTCTCTAGTATTTGACTAAATTTTGGGCCCATAGTAGGTGTTAAATCAACATTTATTAAACTAAAATAGCTAAAGTAAAGTTCAAACCAATACTTTTTGACTAAATTCTTTCCATGGCCTATGCTTGAATTTGTATTAGGGAAATGGACAATAGACAAACACTTTAGCATCATTTTTAGCATCCTGAAACCTAAGCATAATCACTGATCATGTAACATGTACACCATCATTTCGAATCAGTGTTACAAAAGGGCAAACCATTCAGATTTATTATAAGCATGTAAATATTTTCTTTCAGGTATAGGTGAGCATTCTAGATGTAATTGGCAGTAACAGTTTCCTGATATGCTTTATATATTCAAATTCTATCATTCAGTCGAGGTAGAAATATACATTTATTGTTGCAATTGTAAATTACTGCAAAAATTAATGACAATTGTGATTTCTGTTAATTTTATGACAAAAAAGCAAACACTAAGAAATTTTAACTCGCTAAAAATTAGAGCCAAATGTAGACAATGAATACCTATACCAACAACATTTTAGCCAGTTAACTTTAGGAATATCCTCTAGTAGCAAATTATAAAAATTCCAATGATAACATGAGACAAAAATAATACAGATTAAATTGTACTTCTAAGCTTTAGAGAATTGTTTGGCATACTAAAATTTGTAAAACTAGACAAAATAACCTTTAGGAATGGCACTGAAATTTTAGTTATTTAATTTTGCATAGGCTTTGGGTCTTCCAAGTTAAAAAAAAAAATTCTCTTTGGCAGTGCCTTGCATCTTATGAGCATGAATGACAATCAGAGCATCAACTTTGACAGTGCAAAATTTCACAAGGAGGAAAACTCCAAAATTATGCTCAACAACATCCAGGAAATATCAGACTTAATAAAGGATCAAAAGGTTTGAAGACAAGAATGATGTATTACAGAAAAAGAAGAGTCCCAGAATAATCTCACCCCTTCATTGGTCCCAGCTGAGAATGAGTTTCTATTTAATATGGGAGGCTTTCACGGTAGAGGGGAAAGCGACTACCATCAAGCAGCTGACAGTACTCAGATGGCTGCTTCTGTACCAAAACGTCAAATTTTAACCTAGCTACTGCTTTTTCAAGTATAATGCTGGAAAAACGGTTAAATTTTTAGGTAAAAGTGCTGCTTTATTTGCATGTCCTCGAACTTCCATTCTATAATGGCGTGTTTGACCTTAGCTGCCAGCCTTACACAGCCAGTGAGGACATGCGCTCTGCCAGCTCTGTTGTACTTGGCCACAGAGCAGGAAAAAGCCTGCCAAAGAAAGTGGGAACCTTTGCTAAAGGCAAGGGTCAGGGACCGGTTTGTAAAGAAAAACTCTTTTGTTCCCTCTGTTTTAGTGGATGCCTTCCCAGTTAGTAAACAAATCTGCTTCTGGAAATGGATTTTCTGATGCTTGAATGACCTTCCTTTGGCATCCACTCACTTGACCCCCAGAGCAACCCTTTGGCAAGGGCCACAGATCAGGTGGCAGCCGTGAATCGCCCAGTGGAGACAGGGCAGAAGTTATGGCACATAAGCGTGGACTCCTCTAGTTAACCCCTCCATCTCCAGGACCATTTGGAACCCAGTTCTTGCCAACCGACTTGGCCCAAAGTGGCATCCTCATTCTGAATCATGTTCCCTGTGCTTGAGGGACTCAGTACCTTCTCTCTCTTCAGATCTTTTCTATTCTGACTACTTTCCTGTCATTAATCCTTACATGTATGCAGAACTTCCACTGATGCGGGAAGTTGCTTATAGTATCATGTTTAATTTTGAAAAAAATAAAGGATACAAAACTATGCACCAAGGACTCAATTTTGTGAAAACAAAACAAAATGTCTTCAAAGCAAAAAAGAAATGTAGCAAAATGTTATCAAGATTCCAAAGTTTTTAAAAATAATCAAAATGAGAAAAAGGTTGGTCTTACCACATTAATTCTACTTCACATTTTCTTTAACTTGAGCAAATACAACCATTCATGCTCCTTTTCACTGTGAAGTTTTAAGCTCACAGTGAAATCATAGAACTAGATACCTTGATAGTTAAAGCCGTTACCATGATTACATTCTTGTATTCTGAGGTTATTTAACTCTTTGCACTTCTTGACAAACAGGTTGTCTTGACAAACAGGTTTTTTGTGCTGGGTGAATAAGGACTGTGTTTTACTTATCTCTGTGTTCCCAGTAGATCCCAGCACCCTTGGTTCAGGGTAAATAGTTGTTAACTATTAGTTGATTGCTTGGTCATTTGAGAAAGGAACACCCAAATGGCTTAGCTGGCATTCTTGGTTCTTATGTGGTTAAAAAGAGCAGATGCTGTCAGGTCAGATAACTCTGGATTTTAATCTCAGCTCTGCTGCTTTCTTACATCTTAGAGAATATTTCAAACTTCTCTGATAATCTATTTCCTCATCTCTGTAATGGGTATGAAATGACCACTTCATGGGGTTGTTAGGAAAATTTAATGAAAAAGATATACAAAACAACCAACACCCATATTAGTCAGTTTTCTTTCTTTTTCTTTCTCTTGATGCGTTGCCTCTTGTCACTGTTCTGCCAAGAATGGTCAAGTAAAGAGGAATCACTAATGAATACAATAATTTTTCTCATAGAAAACGTTTGATTAGTTCGTGGATAACCTGTGTTGTCTTGAGATTACCTGGGTTGGATAAGTAGGGATTAGATATATTGCGGAGAGTGAGACTAGAGTATTTCTGCAACCAGGAGAAGGCAGATTTCCCTGGGGCTAGTTAGAGCTGCTTATCAGAGTCATGAAATTCCTTCAACTATAGACTTAATTTTAAGGTTATAATTATAGGCTGTAGCTCTGGCCTTGGCCACCCTTTTGAATAAACCCTGTGGCCAAAAAGAGAACTTCCTAATGGGAGAGTAGCCCATTCTGGAACAGGAATTCTAGGTCCAAAAGGCATCTCTAACACCATCTTCATAGCTCATCTATGAATCCTCATTATAACAGCCTCTGTTCAGGCTCCCTAAGATCTCAAATAGTGTCCAGGATTGCCTTGTTCCCCGCCATCTTCCATGCACAGTGACTTCCCCTATGGCAGTATTCAAGAGAAGTCTACATCGATGCATGTGCTCCAGTGAGACCTGCTCCTTTCCCACCTGTGACACCAGTCACAGAAGTTTATAAAGGAAGCGTCCAGGGCCCTCCATGCTCTCAAGATGATTACCACGAGCCTCAGTACTACTCAATTCAACTCCACAGACTAAGACACCAGCACACTAAGAGAACTGACTCACCCTACTTACCCTGGGAGACCACAGGTGTAATCCTGCCATGCCCTTCAGCCATGCTCATATGGCAATGAGCATCACCTCACCTGGCCAAATCTTCCACCCTTGCTGGACCCTCCCAACGTTTATGCTGTCTGGAATTCATGCACTATCACCTGCCAACTCCCATTTATCCTAACCTCTTTGCTGACTGAACTTTCATCTCCTTTTTCTAGTTGAAACCTGGACATGGCTTCCTTTGCCATCTCTCAAGTTATGGTCCTGTTATTTCCCCCCACACAATCTGGACCATAGTCTTAGAGATGTGGTAAGTTTTCTCCATGTTCTTCATTGCTGTTTGCACACCTTGTTTCCTCTGTCCTTTGAAACATATGCCATCAGACTATGTAGTCATCAACATCTAGGACATGCACCCTCATTTACTGACCATTTTAGTATGGTATTCCTGTCACCTTCCTGAAGGTCTCATTATCAATATAATAATGACACCAGCTACTCAGTGCAATGCCCGGCTCACTTTCTGCAATCTTTCCTTCCACTCAGTTCCCATGGTCATATTTCACTGCAGGAGACACTCTCCAAATCCCAAATTCAAGCATTCCATGTCACCTCCACTCTTAAAATAATCCTTCACTGACCTACCCCTTCAAATTCCTCTCTAACTCCTATTTTAGTTTTTTTTTATTCAACCAATGATGATTCCCAAATTCATATTTCCAAATCTGATCCAGCCTCCATTCCCACTTACTTAACATTTCTCCTTGGATGTTTATGGACAACTTAAATTTATCATGTGCCACACTGAATGCTTTATTCTTTTCTTGACTTCTACTTGGCCCTGCCTGACCGTATTTCAGTGTTCTTCATCTCAGTAAACAATGCCACTATTCAGCCAGTTGCTTAAGCCAAGAACTTATGAGTATTCCTTTATCCTTCCATTCTTTTCATATCTTACATTAAGCCATTTAACAACAACAACAAAAAACCTGATGGAGCCCTTATAATATGTTTCAGCCCAACCACCTCCACTACTATCAACCTGATGTGACCAGACTTGCAGCCTCACTTGGATCACAGCAAAAGGCTCCCATTTACCTCCCTGTCCTTGTGGACCTGCCATTCTCTTCAAAACCCACTAGAGCTAGTCTGCCAGTGGTCAACTCACAGTTCATATCATTTGAGAATTTTGGCAGCATACGATGTAATTGACCACATCCTCTTAATGAAAACAGTCTTTTAATTTTGTTTTGAATATCACACTCTCCAAGATTTTCTTCTACCTCACTCAAGGTGTTTGTTCCCAAGTTCTTTTGCTGGTTTCCTCCTTTCTGGTCTCGAAAGTTTGAGTCTTCTTTGCCTCAGTCCTAGTCCCTTCTTAGCCCTTCTATCCACATGCTCTCCCTACATGAGTGTGGTTTTAAGGTTCCTCTGTAATCCACAGTTTTGCATTCATCCACAGTTAAGGCATTTTCACATTGTCTTACAAGTCTGTGTTACATGGTGTTATGCTTCTGTTTAACCCTGGAGTTTTCTTCAGGACAGAGACCTTAGCTCCTGTATCATAAGTGCATGGAAATGGTACTCAATGCGTTTGTGGAATGAATGACTATTTAAATCACTACCAGCAAGGAATTAAAGAATATCAAAGCCAATCTCATCATGATATAATTAAGGTTGGTTTGGTATTTAGTAATTAAACAACTTACCAGAAAGTGCAGCTACTAAACACTTGCCAGGGTTAAGTACATAGCATCAGAAAATAATGCATTGTAGATCTACAGAAAAAAATGATGAGTTAATACACACACAGAAATATACTCACATGTGCACACACACAATCTTTCTCCATTTTAAAGCAAAAATTTCTGACACCTGTTTCTTCTGTCATTTCTACAAAAGCTATCTGAGTAAATACATTCTTTTACTTTCTCTTATATTCCTCCCAACAGCTAACATGCAGATGAAAGATCTTACTCCATCACCAGAAAAACAAAAAAGTAATTTATTTTTAATCAATCAACAAATACTTATCAATTGTCTGTATGACATCAGGCATGTAGTTTCAAGTTCTCTTGGACCGCAATTTCCTTTGCATAATATGAGAGAACTGGATGGGATGAGATAATTGCATAAATTCATTATTTTGTTTGTAGCCTCCATAAAGACAGTTTAATATTTGACCATTGGAGCTCAGATTTTAAAAGCATTTGAAAGTTATGTTCATCAAAATTATAAAAGTAAGAGTAATAAAACACTGTTGCTATGACTCAAAGGTTTGGAAAACCACTCAAAAACTTAAGCAACAAAGTCAAGCCAGGAATGTCCTTCTGCTCTCCTTTGCTATCCAAGTATCAAAGTCCCACAAACACTTGTAAAGATTTCCAAATGATTCAGTAAAGTAGAGGCAGATCCTGGGGAATACAGTGTTCTGTCAACACTCTGCTGGGAGGAACAAGCAGTCTGTGATGACTTGTTCTGTGGGTGGCTTCCTCCCACCATGAAATATGTGAAGGGTGCTCACTCCTGCCATTTAGGAGCAAGCTGGATTTAAAGACAAGGTAGTTGTACCCAAACTGGAAGCCAAAGTCAATCTTCTTGGAGTTGGAGTTTTCATCTTTTGCTGGTGAAAATAACCAAATGATTATTAATTCAAGGACCATATATACTGTTTCCTGGAAACTTGAAATGGCATCAAGGCTGGTAAAGTTGTATCAACTGGTCCATCTACTTTTTAGTCCTATGCCAGTCCTTTTCCACCTTTAAAGAGATATTTTTTTCTCAATGACTTTCCTGTTTACCCATAAGTTTTACGCTTATCTTCCCAACATTTGCTTTGCCTCATCCTGGGGAGGGGAAATGAAAGGATGAGGGGGCGTCTGTGACCCAGCTCTCATCTATTCCAACATCACTGCTATCCAAGTGCCCTCGTGCATACCATATTCTGGATGGACAGAATGACTTGTTCCTAAATACCTTTTCCTCTCTGATACCACTGGACACAGAACCTTCTACTAGCACTGGCCTCCCCTTCAATGGATCCTGCTATGAGCTCAAATAGAACTTAATCTGTAGAACCTTCTCCCCTTCTCACTCAATGTCCCCACCCTAACCTTCTTCTGTGCAGCTCCTTATTGTAGCCTCTTCACAGTCTTGCCTTTGCCATCGGCTAAATGAACTCCTTGAAGACAAAGACCATGATGTATTTATTTCTGTATTTGTGGTACTTAGCCCAGGACATGGATAATAATAGGTGATCAGCAATAACTCTAAAATGAATGAGTGATTACTTCTAACCCTGGACTCCGTGCTCTCAGTAGGTGGGAATTGTCACTTACTTTTCTTTGTAGTCTCTGTCATGTCAGGCACAGATGCACTGGAAGTTACTCATAAAGTGAAATAGTAAGGTAAACTTCAAAACAATAAAAACACTATGAGAAATTATGAGAGTATGTTAACAACTTAGAGTAGAAAAGTCCTTCTTAATCAAAATAAGAATTCAAAAAGTTTTCAAAGATTATTCAATTTGGCTATATTAAAATATGAAGGCTTCTGAATAACAAAAAGCACTGTATGTAAGTGACAGGAAAAACATAAGTCAATAAGTTATATAAAGAATGAAAAATAAGATCAATTAGGAAACAGGCAAAACATATAAACAGGTGTTACACATAAGTCCAGATGACTAACAAACTTATTAAAAAGTACCCAACTTGACTTGTAATCAGAAACATACACACAAAAATCCCCATGGTTGATAAAAAACTATCAGGAATAATAATAGTAAATGTTAGTGAAGTGAGAGGAAATTGATACTCAAACAAACCATTTCAAAAAATAATTAGAAGTACTTCCAGTTCCACCAAAATAGAGTAGCCTAATTCTTCCTGAATTCTTTCCCTAAAATTAAAAACCATCAACATACACAAAAAGCATGCACAGGCTGTCTCTGAAAGTTGGAAAGAAAAAGGTGGACTGCCTAGGGACTAGGAGTTGAGGAACAGCACAGAAGTTTTAAAATAAAACCAAATATGTAACTATCATGTGACGCAGATTTGCATTCTTGGGCATTTGTTCTGGAGAAATAACAATATCCATATAAAATTGTGTACATAAATGATTATATAGTACACACACATGTATATATATTATAAATTATTATAGTGGCTTTATTCATAATAGCAAAAAACTGAGGTTAAACAATCCCAGGGTGAATGGTTCAATGGACTGGTACACTCATGCCTTGGAATACTACTCAGCAATAGACAAGAACAAACTCTTGATACATGCAATACTATGGACTCAATTGTGTGCTACCCCCCAAATTAATACGTATTAATAATAATATTAAGCCTTAACCCCCAACAAGGTTGTATTTGGAAATAGGGCATTTACAGAAGTAAAGTTAAACAAGGTCATAAGGGTGGGGCCTTGACCCAACAGAGTTAGTGTTCTTATAAGAAGAGACACCAGAGAGCTCTCTCTGCACCATGTGACAATACAGAGATAATATTGAAGAATCTAGTGGAAAAGGTGGGATTTTAAGAATAGATGGAGAATTCCAACAGGAAGATGAAAAATGCAAAAAAAAAAAAAGACATAAATGGAATGCTAGAAATGGGAAAAGCATGGTACCAGAAAGGAAGAAGTCTTATGATAGGTAGAGCAGCAGACTGGACACAGCAGAGGAGAAAATAAGTGAGCTTGGAGATTGGTCAGTAGAAATTATAGAAGCTGAAACACAATGAGAAAAAACTATTTTAAAAATGGAACATAGCACCCAAAGTCTATGGGAAGATATCAAATGATCTTCTGTAACTGTTATTGAAGTCTCACAAGGATAATGGAGACAGAATAGGAAAGAAGACATATTTCATAACATAATGCTTGATATTTTCCAAAATTGGAGAAAGATATTAATCTACAGATCCGGGAAGCTCAGTAAATGCTAAGGAAACTACACAGAGGCACACTGTTGTAAATTCCTGAACATTGAAGATAAAGAGAAAAATACTAAAGACATCTAAAGGAAAAAGACATATTACATAGAGAGGAAGAACAATAAGAATAATCCTTGATTTCTTACCAGAAGTAAAAGAGGCTAAAATATAATTGAAAGACAAATTTATCCTTCTGAAATTAAAGCAACCAAAAGCCAATGTGAATCTATAGGTTTATAGCCACTTAAAATATTCTTCAAAAATGAAGGCTAAATAAAATATTTCAGATATAAAAACAAAAGCTGCAAGAATTCATCTTCAGAAGACCCTATTACAAAATAATGCTTAGAGAAGATCTTCAGGTTGAAGAGAAATTATTCCAGTTAGAAAACTGTTTCAACAGGAAACAGGTTGAGTGAACTATTGCACTCTACCCAGGGCGACAGAGTGAGACTTTGTTTTAAGAAAAAAAACAAACCACAGATTAATAAATTTCAAAAGATCAAAATCATATAAATCATGCATTCATATAAAAACATTATTAAATTATGAACCCATAACAATAAATTATTTAGATTATTTCCTAAATATTTGGAAATTAAACTATAAAACTTTTTAAATAACCAATAGGTCAAAGAAGAAATCGCTTGGAAAATTATGAAATATTTGAAGTAAAAAATAAGAAACATATAGTATATAAAAAATGTGTAGGGTACAGATAAGTAGAAAAAAAATTATAGCTTAAAATGCATATATTGGAAAAAAGAAAACTTAAGAAATAAATGATCTATGTATCTATCTTAGGAAGACAGGAAAAGCTAAAATTAAATCCAAAGTAAATAGAAAAAAAAGGAAATAATAAAATAAGCAAAAGGGTCAATGAAATAGAAAACACAATAAAGAAGACTTTAAAAGCCAGCTGTTACTTCTTAAAAAGCTTTTAAAAAACTGATATAACCAAAAAAGGCAGGAGGGCATCATAACAGATTTTATAGCTATTAACAAATATAAGAATATATTATTGAGAAACCAATACATTTAACAAAGAGAAGATTTTTAATAGCTCTTTATTCATTAAAGAAATTGAATTTGTAATTAATATTCTTCTCACAGGGAAACCTTGGGCTCAAATGTCTTTACTGATGAATTTCACCAAACCTTTAAGGAAGAAATATCACCAGTATTACATAAACTCCTCTTTAGATAGAGAAAGAAGAAACTCTTTGATTTCTTGTATGAGGTCAACATAAATCTGATACTAAAACTTGATAGAGATGCTTTGAGAAAACAAATTTTAGGCCAATATTCTTAATAAACATAGATGCAAAATCTTTAATAAAATATCAGCAAATGAATCCACCAATATTAAAATCAATAACACATCAGGACCAAGTGGGATTTATTGTATCCCAGGAATTCAAGATTGGTTTATTATTAAAATATCAGCCCAATGATATTCTGAATGGCTGAATAGCAGTGGCCAGCTTGCTTGGTCAGCTTGCTAAATCACCTTTTATTTGTTTTGCATTCTTCTCTTTTCTTTTCCCTCATCCTTTCTGCCTTGCAATTTATCTTCCAATAAAACATTAAGCACTTAAAAAAAATCAATTAACATAATTCACCATAATAACAGAATAAAGGAGGAAAACCATATGATCACTTAACAGATGCAAAAAAGACATTTGCCAAAATTCACACCCATTCATGATTAAAAATCCTTAAACTAGGAAAAGAAATACTTCCTCAAACTCAAAGAGTATCTGGAATAAAACCTATAGCTGATATCACACCTAACAGTGTAACACTGAACATCTCAAATAGCAAATAAGGCAAGGATGTCTGCTCTCACCACTTCACTCAACCTTTGTCTGGATGTCCTCATCATTTCAGTAAGACAAAAAAATAAAATAAAATAAAATTAGAAAGGAAGAAATAAAACTATCCTTATTCACAGACATCATGAAACAGAAGATAAAGCTCCTTGTAATAAACAATGCTAAATTATTCAATTTTAAATATTCAAATATCCAATATTAAAACTGCTGTTGCTATAAACTTTATATCAGAAAATGTTTTTGTTACAATAAACACACATACAACAAAGTAAAAGAAACATGTTTTAAAATTATATATTTTTTATGGAAAAAACAAACTCTGAAGGCTTGAGTAAGTGGTCCAGAGGAGGTCAGATTATAGTTTGGTTTTATGCATTTCAGGGAGGCAGTAGTTACAGGCAAAGATATAAATAGATTAATACATGGAGGGTATACATTGGTTTGGCCCAAAAAGATGGGATATCTTCAAGTGGAGGCTTACAAGTCATAGGCGGATTTAGATATTCTTTAATTTGTAATTCGTTAATGGAGAAAGTCTCCAAAAGTTGGAAGAGTTAGTAGAAAGAAATGCTTAAGTTAAGATAAGGGGGTCTGTCACCCACCATGTTATGCCATGCCAGCAAAATAGGCCTGTTTCACT